CATGTGTGGCTCATTTGATTTCCTTTGATGTGATATGTTGTTTGCCCCTGCCATGCATGAATTTTGTGAGAGTATTTGCCACAAAAGTATATTTGTATTTATAACATATTCCATTTATGTTTGCTTGCAATATTCCTGCAATCAATATTTGTGAGTGTTTTGAAAACTTTTGTTTATGTAAGCCCAAAAATAGAAGCAAAGAACAAGCTTCGCTAGAATCGCTACCAAGTATCAAACCATCTCTTGTTTGTAAGATATACACAATAACATGTGGTAAGAACGCATTACAATTTTACTATAGTTATCAACATTCAAATTACTTCATCCGTCCCCTTTTAAATGTCCCGTTTTACCATATTGGGATGTTCCTATTTAATTGTCTCTTACCTTATTTGGTAAAGTTTGTGTGACTCAAAATCATTTTTACTTTATTCTTACTTTATCAATCAATATCAACCATACAAACTCATTTTTCTTAAAATTCGTGACACCCTCTTCCGAGACATTTAAAAGGGGACAGAGGGAGTATATGTTACTCTGACATATACTTTCATAAAGAGTGCTAATGGTACATCATTCAATATCTCAATATCGTTGAAGTTATAAATATTCTTAACAACGACCCTTTGAACAAAAAAGGGTTATTTTCTTTCTAGGAAAATTGCTGTAGACATCATTAATCAAGTTATGGTCAAGTTCGTGGGTAATACATGTTGGAGGAGAACCAATGCAGTGACTTTCATAACTAGAGTGAAGAACACACTTTACAATCATCTCACGCTGGGGAAAAGAATACTAGTAAAACTAGAACTTAGTTCCCTAATATCAACAATAAGATCATATGAAGTGTGCCTGCTCTTGTCTTTATTCTTAACTCTTAAAGGGGGTCATTTATAATTTCACAACTTCCATAAACGTGTGTACAAAAGAGAATACTTACATAATAAGTGTATTGCTCCGTATTTACTTTCATTATTTAAAATCTATCCAGTACACTAAGGACATGTTTACTTCATTGTATACTAAACGGTGCTTAGTAAAACATGGCTTAATAAGCTAATGCTTACTAAGAGATGCTTATTAAAGATGTGTTTACTTCATTAGGCTTAAAATACCTACTTTATACAAAATGACAAGAATAACCTTAAATCTTACCTGTGTCATTGGCTGTTCTATATCACTAGAAACACACCAGCCGTTTATCATCTCCATTGACGAAGAAATGTCGTAAGTCCATCATCTCTGGCTACTTTCTTCTCCATTTTTTGCTCGGTCCATAAGATCAATTAATAAAGGTAGAGTATTCTTGTTCAATCAAATTGATTCTCTCTCTATTCGAACATATATACATAGCTAGTGCAGCGATTCTCTTTAAAGGAATCCCAGGAGCAAAAACGGGGCCTTTTATTCTCTTCCACCACTTCTAATATATGTATGTATGTATTGACCTTAGTATGTCAACTGGGGCATCAATTGCGACATTGGAGGAGTTCGTTGGTGTTAGACGTCTTGTACCCGAGAAAGCAGAGTTTTCTTGTGTCTGAGAGACACTTTGGAGGAGATCGAATTTGGCAGAAACGTAGAAATGAGGAGGGCGTGGTGTTAGGGTATCGATGTAATACAAAATCTGCAAGGCTACAAAATGAGGATTGGATGGTCAATATAAATGACTTAACTCACCGGCTAAATAAAACACGGGGGGGGGGGGGGGGGGGTTAACAAACGCCGATTAAGTGGGGTAACAGGGTAGTAAGCACGCATTTACCCGGTCAGGGACGTTTACTTCAACCTTCTTAATAAGCCAACGGTGAATTAAACGACATAGTAAACACGTCCTAGGTAAAATGGTACTCGTGCCACATGCACGCAAAATAGAAGGAAAAAACAAGAAAATGGACAAAATGGTACATGAAGTTGTTTCAAGTGGAATAAGTAGTATTCCATCTTACATTTGAAACTACAAAGTACATGAACTTGCATTTTTAAGTTCATTAAGTACATTTACTCTATTAAAACGTTAAAATAGCAGACCTGGCCAAACTCTTCACTTTATAATATATCGTTGCGGTCCAAATCATTAAAAACTTAATCCATAAACTCTAATTTTCTCCAGTTCACTCGTTTCCACCTTCGCTCTTCAATTTATATTTCTCACATTTGGTCTCCCTTCTCTCGCTCTTCATCTTTATTTCTCTCGTCTGCTCTCCAAGACGGGAGCCAGGGCACTGGGCCAGACTGGAGCAGTACAAAGAATATTTTTGGAAAAAATTTACACAGATTATTTACTTTAAAATTAAAGTATTTTTTAAATTTGAGGTGGACCAGGGCCAAGGTTGGGCCCCTCTAGCCTGCCCGTGCTGCTCTCTTCTCTTTCTTTGTTCTCTTCTTCCCACTGACTTCTTCTTTTATTTGCTATCGGTCCATCTTTATTATAGCAAGAGAAGAAGAAAATAAAATAGAGCAAAAAGAAGCCTACAAGATAGCAGGGAGAGCAGACTAGAAATATATAAGATGAAGAGCAAATGTGAACACGAGTGGACTGGAGGAAAATGGAGTTTATAGATTAATTATTTGATGACTTGAACTGCAATTGTATAATACAAACAGATAGTTTGGTCATGTCAGCTATTTTAACGTTCTGACGGAACAAATGTGTTTGATTGACTACAAAAATACAAGTTCATGTAGTTAAAAATTTCAAATGCAAGATAAAAGTACTACTTACCCTGTCCAAAACACCTTTGCAACAATTATATTATCAAGACAATCATTTTCAGAATAACCAAATCAAGTACATATACCTTTCATGAGGTGATATACTTCCTCCGTTCTTTAATTCTTGCAACTTTGGAATTTTTGCACTATTCACAGACCTTACTTTGACTACGATTTTCTACTAGTATACATAATCAAATTATTACGTATAAAGTGTTATTAAATTCCTATCATTGTGAATTTCCAAAATATCAAATTTTTATAATGTTTACTAATACCTAATTAAATATAATTACCGTCAAAATTGTGCGTTAGCAAACGTAAAAGTTAATATGTTGCAAGAATTAAAGAAGGTATAGTATTACTTTGAGAAAAGGGTCAAATAAGGTCTTCTACTATTATGAAATAGTCACATAAGGCCATGTACTCAATAAAGTGTCATATAAGTACCTCTACTTGTAAAAAACAATCAAATGAGTCCTAATGACCTATTTAACACCTCTTAATCCCGGTTTTAGCGTACTTATGACCATTTTTTAGAATAGATTATATACGACATACGTCGAATATTTAACTAAGATTGGTTGGAATACAAGTAAAAAATCGACAAGTAAGCTAAAACTGGGATTAGGAGGTTGTAAATAGGCCGCTAGGACTCATTTGATTGTTTTTTACAAGTAGAGGTTCTTTCAATGACACTTTATTAAGTGTATGACCTTATGTGACTATTTCAGAATAGTAGAAGGCCTTATTTGACTCTTTTCTCTATTACTTTTGATACATCGTCTTTTTTTTGTTCACAAAAAGCGATTTCGACTTTGACGGATTAAAAAAGGCCGTGAGCTCATCTTCTGCTATAGATGCACAAGGATTTGACTCTCCAAAGGATGTTATCTTTTAGTGGGAAATAGTAACCTCATTTACATCACTAGTTTACCGATTGAAAGTTTGAAACAGGAAATAACCAACAATAGTACAACTTGAAGGGATTGATAAGGAAATGGCATGTGTAGTTTTTTTGTTGACTCTTTGCGTGTATTAGAGCTTCAATTAGAGCATCTCCAATGCTAAAATGTGCACGGTGCACATGTGGCGTGAGTGATAGCCACATAAATATTAGCAAATAAATTATTTCTCTCCTTATTTGAATGATTTTATACAATTTTGGTAAGTTTTTCTCTGCAATGTCAACTGCAATGTCAACATTTAGACAGTCTCTTTGACATTGTGGAGAAAAACTTACTAAATCTGTATAAAATCATTAAAATAAGGAGAGAAAAAATTTATTTATTAATATTTATGTGGCTATCTCTCATGCCACGTATGCACCGTGCACATTATACCATTGGAGATGCTCTTATATTTTCAGAAAGCTCGAAAGAGTATTTTTAGTTATCCGTGATGGTTCTTTGATTGTGCTTTTAGAATAATATTTGTTATAATCAAATGTCAACATTATTAATTGAGATAACTTTTGATCTTGGGATCTCTTTCGGAGTGTCATTGTAATACTCCCTTATTTTTTGTTTGTTACACTTTCCTTTTCGGGATGTGTTTAAAAGTTTGCTACACTTTCATTTTTGGTAAGTTTACCTTTTATAAAAAGTAGGTTCTATGGTACCCATAAGGTATCATATCTTTGTCCATATGGACCAATGAGAATGTAGCAATTGAATTATTTAAATCTAAATTAAAAATGATAAAATGATGTGGTCCAATCAAATGAATAGTAGGTACGGTACCCCATTTTTTAAAAAGGTACCAGAGTTGTCACTTTTATAAAATACGCAACTACATTTACTTTTTCTACTTTTTATCTTCTCTTTCATACTTTTACACACTATCTCCTATTTTTTCTACACTATTCATTACCCCTACTACTTTACTCCTTAAATAATGTGCCAAATAAATAGGGAGGGAATATTTGAAAATGATTTTTGTTAAGTTTTATTTTAAATGTGAAAGAAAAGCAATAACTCGTGGTAACTGGTACTACCTCCGTAACTTAAAAATCTTCCCATTTCAAAAGTAGGTAGATTAATAATAGTGAAAGAGAATATGAATTATTGAGGATATAATGGGAATATAGTGAAATAATGTGATAGAATGTAGGATAAATAAAAAAAGTAGTTGTAATGCTGTATTATTTTCAGAATTATTGAGAGTAGGATGAGAAATTTTTTTTGTTCCTTGTAAGTCATATGAGGTTGATTATGACCGCATGATTGGGGAACGTTGACCTAATTTGACCTATCAAGTGAGTGAATCTCGAAGAAAATTAGAAATGTAAACTTAAATTCATCTTTTTATTCCATGAAGATCCGAATCGCCTCTTGAACCGTGATGAACCCTAGCTTGCACATCAGCAAACCTGATTAACAGAAAAATGTCGTCTTTTCTCGTTAAAGCCTCGCGCGGTTCGCGCAGTACATCGAGACAGCTGACGCTCGAACTCCTCTCATTAAAATGTTGCCTTTGCTCTTCACATTTGTCCGACTCCGCTAATCTTCTCAACCCAAATCCTTATCCCCAAACCCCAATCATCAGATTTAATTTCAGTTTTAAAACAAAGAAACGCGATGGGTTTGCCCAAGATCAATTCAAATCCATGCCACGGTCTTTGTCAGGAGGGAATGCTCGTTTCTCGAGTTCACATGCTGGGTATTCCGTTGATGATGAGCCTTCTACAAGCGATGGGCTTACAGTGGAGGGAATAATTAGAAAAAATTGGGTTGTTCTTGATGAGAGTGAAAGCGATTGGAGAAGTCACGCCTCTTCCATTGCTCAGTCCATTCAACTTATCAAGAAACGCCTAAAGGTATGCTTATAAATTTAGGCATGTGCATTTCTTTTTATGCTTTAGAAGTGATGTTTTGCTAAAAAGTAGTTTCATTCCCTCGTAAAATTATTCACTACTCCTGTGCTGCTTTAGGATGCAATAAGTTATATTTTAGCACAAAAAAAAAGAGTACTCCCATATGTGCAGAAGAGTACTCCAATGACTTGTGTTTTACTTCTATTTGCAGTAGAATATTTTTAATTGTTTTAGCTGGACCTTTTCAGTTTGTTGTTTGTGCTGGCTTGATTTTCCTCGACACTTCTTATTAGTTGGTTTAATGTGCAGTGTTGTAATGTGTTCTTGGTTTAAAATAAAAGGGGGGGGGGGGGGTGTTTATTTTCTGTCATTGCATTGTATTTGATTGTAAATAGTTATTTCTTACACAGACTTCATTTTTTTACAGTGGAAAAAGCTTGTTGATAGGATTGAGGTATTATCAGCCGAGCTCAACAAAGCAGATCTTTGGGAAGATGCTGTTAGAGCAGGAAATTTAAGCAGGGAACATGGGTCTCTGACAGGTAAAATGGAGGAGGTCAAGGCCTTTGAGCAAGAATTGCTTGAACATGTTGATATGATTAAGCTTGCTGAGGAAGAGAATGACAAAGATTTGCAATTGGTGTGTCCATGAATCTTGTTTTCATTGAAAGGGAAATTGACATAGATAGGAGTGTAAAACAGCATATTTCTTCAAAAAGGACTATCATTGCCCCCCCCCCCCCCCCTTAAAATATGAATCATTTACTCCCAAAAGATAAACTATTAACTACTTGAATTCGTATTTTAGAACTGAATAAGTTATTTTTATCACAAAACAAAGATACTCTTATTTGTACATGACTCGTGTTTTATTCTTATGTGCAGTGATCTCTTTTTTATATACTAATCAGTAATTATTCTTTAGATGAGAAAGTTCATCAACTATTTGCATTTAACCAGCTATTTACTCTCGGGATGACAGGAATCACTAACAGCACTAACAAAGATTAGAAGAAGACTAAAAGAAAAAGAACTTGAAGCTTTACTGTCAGGGGAGCATGATTCTTGCTCTTGTTACATCGAGGTCACACTTAACTGAAGTTTTAGCTTCTCTTTTCTGCTTATACATAAGTATCAACTGTCAATCCCTCCAAGATTTAACATAAGAGTTCGTGTCTTTAAACCAGGTTCAAGCTGGTGCTGGTGGTACCGAGAGCAATGACTGGGCTTCAATGGTCATACAAATGTATAAATTATGGGCTCAGCGTCGAGGATATGAAGTTACTGTAGTTGATGAAATGCCTGGTGAAATGGCAGGAATAAAGGTGTAAATGCTATACCATAATTTTCTGTCAACCTATATACGCAGGTTATCAAAGTAGTGCATGTTAGATAGTAGATACTTTGAATCTTACCAATTCATGATAATTTGGTGTTTGTTGTTGTTGTTGTTGTTGTTGTTGTTGTTGTTGTTGTTGTTGTTGTTGTTGTTGTTGTTGTTGTTGTTGTTGTGTTTAAGTCCCAGAATGGAAAAGTGATACTATCCTCCGTTTCTTGTTAATCGCAACATGTTGAATTTTACACTATTCACGTGTTCTACTTTGACTACATTTTACGGAATTATTTTACGAAAATTATTTTTCAAAAAAGATATTGTTCAATTCATCTCATTACAAATTTTCAAAATCTGATTTTTAATTATTTTTAACTAATAGATATTAAGATATAATTACGGTCAAAGATGTGTGTTGGCAAGTGTGAAATGTTGACCGTTGCAACTAAAAAAGAACGGAGGAAGTACTTAATAAGACATTGAGTTTACCTTGCTAACATATTAGATTCCATATTTTAGTGTGATTTGGTCAAGTGTCATATGACCTTGGGTTAATAAGACATTGGGTTGAACTAGCTAACAAATTGGTCGTAAATTAACCACCAATGGTCCAAATTACTTCAGCGTAATCCATTCTAATATCTTTAATCATAAGAATAAAGAGAAAATGATGGGTTAATAACACTTTGGATAGCACCTTAGATTGAACTAACTGTCTAGCTAATCCATTCTGATATATTTAATCATAAGAATAAAGAGAAAATGATGGGTTAATAACACTCTGGATAACACTTTAGATTGAACTAACTGTCTAGCTAGTTAATTAGTATCAATGCATAAAGAAATTATATGAAGCACTGTTACGTGGGAGAACATACACATTGCTGTTGAATATATAGTAAACCTTGGAGTCTCTAATCATTTCTTTATCTGGTCTCTTTGTAATTTCCAACTCTAGGATTAAGCTGCGTGCCTGCATGTTATTGTTCTGATCATACAATACCACTGTTTCTCAGCGCGCAACGATCAAAGTTGACGGTGAGAATGCATTTGGATATGCCAAAGCAGAAGTAGGAGTGCATCGCTTAGTACGCATATCACCATTTGATAGTGCTAAGCGGAGGCATACTTCATTTGCTGCTGTTGCTGTAATACCCATTCTAGGTGATGGGTCTACGCGGGTTAAAATTGAGGAATCTGACCTTCGGATTGAACGGTTTCGGGCAGGAGGAGCTGGCGGTCAACATGTGAATTCAACTGAGAGTGCTGTGAGAATTACTCACATCCCTACAGGAATTACTGCTTCTTGTCAAAATGAAAGGTAACATATATTTTTAGCCGTTTAGATTTAAAACTTTCAAAAACCAATAATTACACTAAGATCAGGGTATTAATTGTGAAATTGATGATTTAATACTTTTATGAAAGTCATATAATGAGTTAAAAGAGTGTTCATTTGGTTGAATCAGATTTTCACTATTAGATTGATTATCTAATAGATTTTAAAAGTTCAAAAGCCGGCAATGAATTGCACTAAGATCAGAGGCATTAATTAATTGTGAAGTTGATGACTCAATACTTCTTATAAAGTCACATAATGAATATGAGAAGTGGCGGCTTTTTGGACAAATTTGACCATTAAATGGATTCAATATGCTTAAGAGCTAGTATTGAATGGCACCAAGATCAGATGAATTAAATGTGAAAGATGATGATTTAATACTTTTTTTTATAATTTCTATCATGAGTACGAAGGGTGTTTATTGAGGTGCATCGGGATTTTAGGACCCAGTTTGATCACTATATAGATTGATTTTCTTGGGGGATTGGGTGGAGATAAAGTTGATCATTATATAGATTTCATAGATTAATAATAAACTACATTACATTTTATCTCCACCCACCCCCAAGAAAATCAATGTATAGGAAATAAAGTAAAAAATTAAGCACTCTTAGCTCTGTCCTCTAATCAGGTCACAACATCAGAACAAGGCTTCTGCCATGGCCGTGCTTCAGTCTAGGTTGGACCAACTTGAGATGGCTCGTCAGGCTCAAATGAATTCACAGCACACGCAATCCCTCACTGATATTAGCTGGGGCAATCAAATACGCACCTATGTACTCCAAGTATGCACACTACAATTTAACTTGTGCTTAGTCTTATTTAAGTCACTCCAAGAAACCATCACTAGGTGCTGATAAAGCACTTCATATGTTTTCTTGCAGCCGTACCGGATGGTCAAAGATCTCCGGACTAATTATGAGGTTTCAGACCCTGATTCCGTTCTTGAAGGGGACCTGGATGACTTCATCTTGAAGTACCTTTCAGTATCATTTGAAGGATAGCAAATGACCTTTCCACCCTAATCATGAGTGGACCCTACCAATTGACAGCAAAGTTGGCTGAAAAGATTATAATGGTAGGATCATTCAGTAATTCTTCAAACATTTAAGTTTTTGGGTATTTAATTGTTATAATTTGGTCCTTGGACAAATAATTGCTATCTCACCTATCTGTCTCCTTCTTTTTGCCCAACTGGCATTGTTCTCTTACATCCATCCAATACATGTTGTTTGGAAGCTTACTCTACCATTTTGAGTGTTTATCTAACAGAAGCAAAGAACAGAAAACATTTCAGCGACCCCGCTGAAGTACTGGAAATGTGAAGAATACAGTTGGTTGGTCGAGTCATACTACATAAATAGCACAACTCCTTCCGCCTCGACTGAATCTTGACGCTTGCTTTTTGCACGTGTTTTCATTGTTTGCAATTGCGCAATGCAATTGCGCCTTATGGCGCGCCTCGCATATTTCCCAGGCCATTGCGTAATATTGCATGGCAGATTGCGATCAGGACTAAAGCGTACGCTATTTGTGTTAAGGCGTACGCAATGAGGCGTCTATGTGGCGTACGTTAAACTGAGTGTGATTTTTAGGTATTTTTGGGCCCACTGGGCCCACTTTTAGTAAAACACATAACTGGCCAACCCTTCAGGGTATAATAGCACGTCGATATTAGTTTTGAATGAAAACTTTCCATTATCTACACTATTCTCTACACACTTTTTCGCTGCGCCTTCTTCATATATATGTCAACTACAGGCCTCCTCTTCTACACTATTGTATCATCTACCTTTATCTTCTCATGCGTTTAAGTTTCAGCATATCAGTATGTTCTTTCAGTTTTTATATTTAATGATAACTTCAACTTTAATATTATTTCGTGTCTTGTTTAAATTCAGGCTAAATATTAATGTATATTTTATGAGTACCTCAACTTTTAATATTTTATTAAAAGTTTCTGTATATTAGTATTAGCAGTGTACAGCGGTTAAATTTCTGTATACTTCAGCTTTCATACATATTAATATTTATTATTTAGCAGCGGTTAATGTGTTTTATTTTTTATTATTTACACACACATATGTATGTGAACACACATATGTATGTGTCGTGTGTGTGTACGCCTCAACTATACGCCTTATTGCGTAATGAGGCTTACGCAATATGCAATACTCAAAATTCGCCATGGCTACGCAAATACGCAATACACAATTTCGAAGTGTTTTAGGAAACCAATTAGCATAACATGTAATAGCTTTATGATTTGCCTTTTGTTACTCAGCCGAGAGCGAGGTTTCCTGAATTCCTGCTGGCTGGACGGGTGAACAGTATTAGTCAGTGAGAGTTGATTCTTTATACTGGTTGAGGCAAATTACTACCCCTTTTGTGAATCCATTAAGCATAAATTATGGAGGGGAGTAGTAAAATGGGAGGGAAAGACTAAATTAAGAGGGAAATAAAGAACACTAATTTCGAATTTTTAACTAAAACTGAAAGTTTCAGTCCATATAAGAGCAGTTCGCTAACACTGATAAATAGGCTACACGGCCCATACGATACAGTGTTTAGTCCTTGTACAAAATCTACTTTCGGAAGTTCACAATGAAGATGAAAAATCAAACTCTGCAGACAAATCAAATCGCACAAGTTTTATTAGCCTCTTTATCATTGATGGCTTATAAAGACTATTGACACCTAACATAGAATATGCACAAGTATCACAACATATTAGGCCTCCTAAAATGAAACCATCATATCACATTTATTTCAATTGGTAACACTGATACACCAAGGGCATAAGCACATAATTGCATTTTTAATCAATTTTGTCTTTCTGAAACAGTCTTTCTTTTATACTTCGATACATTGTTGCATAATGGAACACTTTTATCTTTCTCATAGCCTATGATTCAATTTTATTTGGGCCAAATAGGGTTATTACACATCATAGCAGATCTTAGCTCAGAGACAGAAACACATCATTGCATCATGGATCACTTTTATGTTTAAAAAATACTACGTATACATTAGAAATTTTGCATGATTGGCCTGTTTAAAACACATAGGTATCACAATTCAAAAAGAAAATCTGGTATCAAGATTTGGATCCTGGATTATTTTAGGTTGTAGTTAAATTGCATTTAATGCATGGTCTAGAAAAACTAATTATTTGAGTATCATGGTTGATGAAGATCTTAGCTCAAAGATAGAAGCACATCATTGCATCATTCACCACTTTTATGTTTTGACAAATCTTTCTAACATATTATAGTATTTGTTCTATATTAAGGCCAACATCCTTGAATGATATAAGATTCGAACCTGTGACAGTGTGACCTCCATAAGTCACAGTGATGCCATATGTACTTGGCTGACCACTTTTATGTTTAAAAAAAATATACATTAGAAATTTTGCATTATTGGCCAGTTTAAAAAACATAGGGATCGTAATTCACAAATTATAGTTCAGCAATCAGCATAGACTGGTATCACAATTAAAATCACATGTTAGCGCGCATGGGCATCTCCTACATCTCTTTGCATAAAGGTAGATTAAATTAAAATCTCAATACTAAAAGTTGAAATATCAATACAGATAAAATCACAACACATAAAGTGAGTAGATAAGGTTACATGGGCATGCAGTAAAGGGAACCAAACTTGAGTGCACTATCAGAATAAACATATGGTGCATAAGAACGGGGCATCGTTCTTTAGTTTTTGCTCAATTGTACCTACAAGGTTGGGAAAAATATAAGGGAAAACTGTCAAATAGGTCCTCGAACTTTCATAAAAAGGTCAAATAAGTGATCATGATATAGGAGGTTCTGTCCGACCGTCGTCATTTGGGGCGGTTCCCGGTGGAATTTTTTGATGAAAATTTTTTAACATCTTATTCATCAAGTCTAGTTTACTCATACCAAATTTCAGCTAAAACTTCAATCAGGAACACATTCAAATTAACACAAAATAAGATGTTCCCGATTTAATTTGTAAAATAACACAAAATTACTCCAACTAAAGCTATATGTGCAGTTCCTATTAAAGAAAGAAAAATTTAAAAACCTCAATTGCACGAACATATAGATTCACAATCACATGTAGATCGATGAAGAGAAGATGAACATCTGAAGAGAGGGTAGGTTCATATGCCAAGAAGATAATAGGGGTGTTAGAGTGGACAGTTAAGGACAAATTTAATGAGGCGTCCCAAAAAGAAAAGCGTACAAATTTAAATGGACGAAGGAAATAAAAGACTTGGCCTTTGAAGATGGATAATGGTGCAACATTGCACTCTTTTAGTTCACAATGGGGGAGAGTATAAGTACTGGTTCCCACTTATGGGCTTTTGAAATTGGTATCAGCGATTTTGCAATAAAGTGAGTCACTAGTTATTTTGACTTAGTTTAAGTTATTAGCATTAATGTGATAGACGATTCTCAAATTAAATCTTAAAAGTGTGCAGTTCCCTGCATTATTGTATCCTCAAATTTTTATGGATCGGTTGAAATGATTAAATTTTAGAAGTGCATAATTTGCACCTTTATTACCATTTTCACTAAACTTAGCAGCTTTGGCGTTAAGGCATATCATTTGATACAAAAACTCAAATTGATTTGTAGTAGACATTAGGCTCTCTTTCTATGAGGTCGGCCTCTTCAATGGAACTTCGAGTATTCATATGTCAGAATCTATTAAACGAAAATGAGTGTTTGGTCCCGATCTTAATAATGAGTACACAGAGTTTGAAATTGGTCAACTTCATATGGTCTTGGGCTACCTCTTTAATTGACGACCACCCTCAAAGGAACAACTCAAACTGTTGAAACAAATTGGAGCCTATAAACATCTTATCGGTCTTCGTATATTCTTCTAGCCAAAGACACCATGTGAAAATAAAACAATGAACGGCAACTATTATTCGAAAACAGCGAACTGCTAATATGCCATCGCCACATCCCATGATACTGGTGCATTCCCAACTCCTAAGAAAATGAATATCAATCCTATCTTCTCGCGATTAATTTAAAAAAGTTTAAAACAAGTCAAAGTTTTCATTTGCAAACTCGTTTTTTAAATTTTTAAGTCTTTTCAAATAGTTTCTACTTTCATTCGATTTTTTTCCCTGATAGACTTTTTTTTTTGTTTTTGTTTTGGTGTCCTACTTTCCTACAAGCTCAGAATATGATAAATGACAAAGATATTAAATCGATCTTGGCGGACTTACAATTGTCTGTATGAGATTAGTGAGTTCTATTGCTTTTGAGTGGGTAATTGATTCAAAGTCTTATCCACTTATGAGATTAGTCTTATGGTTTTTCTATAGTTTTTTGTCTTCACGTTACCGACATGGATTTTGATATTACGTAGTACTACCTCCGTTCTCTTTTAATTGCAACATTAGACTTTTTGCATTATTCACATATTTTATTTTGACTATATTTTATTAAATTAATGTATAATACATTAAATTTTTTAAAAATATTATTAAATTCTTCTCATTCTAAATTATCAAATTTGGAATTTTTAAATTTTTTTACTACTAAGGAATGAAAAATATTAATGGTCAAACTTGTGCGTTGGCGAATGTGAAATGTTGACTGTTTCAATTAAAAGAGAACGGAGGAAATATAATATAAGCGTTTTTTTCTTTTTAAAAAATAAGTCAAAATCAGAAAATTGTGTTTTAAAGCATTTCAAAATTCCACCTAAAATGCAAAATAACGTTCAATACGCATTTAATACATTGAACTATGGAAGAGTGACCCACAAGGGCCAATTCACCAACCTAAGTCTGCTCCATGATTGCCCACTGCCTGAGTCTGACGTCTGGTTTTGTTTGTCAGAGACAACAAACATTAGTTTGAATTTGCTGACACACGAATTTAAAACTTGAATAGTCAGCTTTTCGCGAGCGTTTGTTTAGCCATTTAGGTTTCACAGCAAGTAAAGATGATTTTAACTCAACTCAAATTTAATTCATTCGGTCTGATTTGATTTAATCCGAATTGATATAATCTGATGTAGTTTATGCTAATTTTATGTCCGAAAGCTGACTTAATTTGGTCTAATATATCATTGATTTTTTAAGCTAAATTGAAAGTGAAAGAAATCTAAGAATGTTTCCACTTGGACTGAAATTTGCCGGTCTGATATGATCTGTTTAAACGTTGTTTGTTTTGAACTGGTTTAGGATGTTTTCACTTGGACTGTAATTTGCTGGTCTGGTCTGGTCTGGTTTCTTTGTATTTTTATAACTATCCAAGTCTGGTCTGGTCTGATCTGGTTTGGTCTGGGACAGATTGCAGTCCAAGTAAAAACATCCTTAGTCTAGTCTGGTAATGTCTGGTCTCTGTGTATTTTATAACTATGGAAGTCTAATCTAGTTCGATCTTATATGTTTACGTTTGGTTTGATCTGATTTCGTTAATTCTGATCTGGCTGATATGAGACTAAAAATAGTTCAATTAAAAATATCTCAATCCACATCCTATTCAAATTGGGAAATTACCCTAAATAGGACTAAAATATTTAAAAATTCCAAAATAGGACTGTCATATTTTTATTCCCAAAATAGGACTAATTACTGTCATGTTTTGGCAATACCAGGCTTTAAAGATGGCAGTATTTTCCAAACTTGGCAGTAATTATTGCTATTTTAGGAATAAAAACACGACAGTCTTATTTTGGAATTTTCAAACGTTTTCAGTCCTATTTCAGAAATTTTCCCATTTAAATTTGGTTTCGGACAAACATCTAAAATGAATGAACTAATGCCCGCTTATTTGGCTAGCGACCAGAATTAGGTAGTGTTTGAGAAAAAAGTGATTCTGAAAAAGTAAAAGTTGGTAGTGTTTGGTAAAATAAGTACTTTTTGTGTAATAGAAAAAGTGAAAAGCAGTTTAAGAGCCCGTTTGGAGAACTCTGTTTTCGGCTTATCAGGCTTATCAGCCAGCTTTTTCACCAAACACGTAACTTTTACTTTCGCGCGCTGAATTGTGTAATAAGCCTAAAAAGTAAGGTTGGAGTTACTTTTCTGGCTGTATTGGCTGAAGTTACTGTAGAGGACCATTTTAGCTATTTTTACATATAATTTTTTCTTTAATTTATTAATAAAATATATTTTTAAAATATTTTTTTCTTAAATCAGCAGAATCAGCCAAAACAGCCACTCCAGCCAGAATATCATAAATTTCAGCAGAATCAGCCAAAACAGCCGATTTTGGTGCTACCAAACGGGCTCTAAAGCTCCATTCCACCTGCTTCCAGGTTTTAGCTTTTAAGTGATTAATTTAAGCAAAATCTGTCATTTGAAAACACTCTTTTCAGATTTTTTAAGCCAAAAGCTGAAAAGCACTTTTTTTAAACAACTGCAAACACTACTTTAGTATCAAATTTTCTAACTCATACAAGAACTAGCTTTGTCTCAGGTCTCATTTGGTTTTAGCACAATTATTAATAAAATGATTGAAAAGGTAAAATGAGACAGGGAGAGTAATAAATAAGTAGAGAAGAGAGACAAATCAAATCACATTAATTGTCTAAAAATGTACGAGTACTTTTTTCACTGTATCCTCTCTAAAATCATACTTCCATTATTAGCTCCAGTCGGCGCCTAGGGCTATCCTTTGGCTCGAATAGTTTCTCCAACGCCTATGTTGCTTGCCCGGTTGATTTTTTAATTGGCGGTCGTCCCTCTCGTTAGGGTTTCAAATTTCTCCGCAGATTGCCATTTTGGGGATCGTGTGACTTCGCTTCAGCGGCAGCTGGCAAATCACTTTGCGTTTTAGCGAGAGAATAATTGGCAGATCGGGACGAAGATCCTCGCAGTGACGGCAGCGTAACAGAGACAAGGAGGCACTCTAACGAACACGGTTGGAAAAGCGGGACTGATGGAAAAGTTGATCGGGCAATGCGACAATTTGGAGATCGGGACTGAGGATGATGGAGGACACTGCGGAATGCATGGACGAGACGTTTCCGGGGGCTCGTCCCTCTCTTGAGCCGTCACCATGGAGTGCAAGAGTGTCTAGGGTTTGCAAGAAGATGAGTGAATTCTGTTTTAATTCCATTTTATTTTGTTTGTGTTTTTCTTTCGAACTACATGTTGTTTTTGGGTGTGTTCTTTTTTCCTAGCAGAAAGTTTTTTGCATTTAAGGTGATGAGAAGTCTGGTTTGCCTGTCATTGACTCAATTAAGCCCATTACAGGATCATCGATTCTTATTGCTTCTAGTCTTCTACGGAGGTGATGGTTTCTAAGTCCGATTCAACTGTTCAAGGGTGGATGGTAGATAGAGATGGCAATTGTGACCGATCCGATGGATACCCGCACCGAACCGCCCCGGTCAAAACGGGGAAAACCACATTGACTGGGTAATGGGTATGGGGCGGGGAATACCCGTTTTGATTTTATGGGTAACGGGGCAATTACGGTTTTATACATGCCTGCCCCATTACCCGCCCCGTACCCGCCCCGTTTCTTTTTGGCTATATTTTTAGTACATTTTTATCTATTATTTGTCCCACAGCTACTAAAAGATAAGATTTTTCTATTTTCATTGTGTATATATGAATAATTGATGACTAACTATAGTGTGAATGAAAGTTCATAATAGATCTTAATAGTCCTGTTTAATTATTATCAGAACTTTTTCGTAATTAACATTTTTCATATCGATTATTTTTAGGTTCAAATTAATTTAGGTTGCCTTCTTTTTTGTCTTGTAGATATACGAAACTTTAAAGTGGAGTGTGAGTCTAGAGTTGTCTATGCGATGCCATTTTTTGCCTTTTAAAAATTATTTTTATATGAAAATATTAATGACTCATTTTATAAACCGATTACCCGTGGTTACCCGCGGTTATACCCGTTACCCGTTGGGGCGGTTATGGTTTGGGTAAATATTACCCGTTGGGTAATGGAGCGGTTACGGGGCGGGAGAATTACCCATTGGGCGGATACGATTATATGTAAAACCGTCCCCGAACCGCCCCGTTGCCATCCCCTAACGGTAGACATAAGACTATTTAGCGTTTTGTTTCCCGATTTATCTATGATTGTATTGTCAGTCATAAAAATCCTCATTGTATTGTCAGCCAGCTGACAAACCTTTTATTGATTTAATATAAATTTTCCGTTTTGATGATTAAAAAAATCATAGTCTCGTTTAATTAAAAAAATATCATATTGTCACCTTATATTATTCTCCTAAAATATACTCGGTAGTTATCCCTTTTTATTAAATATTCATCTCCATACATTTAGGGTGTCATCTTCGTTTCGGCAAAAATGTACTCCGCCTCGCAATTAAGTTCATAGTTTGACCTCACACAGATTAAGAAAATAAATTTGACTTTACTGTGGAGTGCACTGTTTAAACACTGTTTGACACTGTTTTGATGTAGATAATTTGCCAAATAAGAAAAGTTTTGAAGTGTGAAGTTAATTTCGGGACTGCTCAAAAAAGAAAGTGAGAAGTTGTTTACGGGACGGAGGGAGTATTTCTTTTTTATGTATTACCTCCGTCCCATTAAACTTTGTCAACTTTACTTTTTTGACCGTCCCAAAAAAACTTTATAATTTCCATTTAAAGTAACAAATATGCGGCTAAAATTAGTTCTTTCTTCTGCACAAATATGAACTACACAATTTTTACTTTATTAATCAATATATAAGTCAACGTTGATCAAATTTTATGAAACGAAGAGTATAAAAGAATTACATAAAGTTTATGAAAAGATTCTATTTAGTGACCTACCTCAACATTTTCTCATGCATAAGTGATAAGCCCATGCTTATACTACATTTTGTCATGACCTAATGTGATTTTTGACCCCTGAATCAAATGTTATTATTTCCTAAAAATAGAACGGCAGAAATTCAAATGTCCCAACAAATAAGCTTTCATTTTCAAAGGAATCCAACGGCTTAATCGGCGCTGGATGGCTGTAGGCTGATGCATTCAGTTTTATGAAGTTCAGCTTGCTTCGTTTTCTTCCCTTGCTGTCCTGTCTTTACCTCCCTATCTGTTAAATTCACAACATCTGCTAACACTCCACTGTTTCTCAACTCCCTTTCTCTCTCAATTCTGAACTTTGCCTTCCTTTGAGGAAATGGCAGTAAGTACATGCTTTATAATAGTTCTTGTTTTTTGGTTTTACACACACACCCAGATATATTTTATGATTTCCAAGAACTGATGAGCTAAAACTGTTTTTGGGTTAGATAAAGGACTTATCTTTACCCTGTTTTTGAGCTTTTATTCTTTGTTTTCTTTCTCTGCCATTTTTCATGTTCGAATCGAACCTTCAGGAATGCTTGCTAATTTTGTCTATTCCATAATTTGTGATTTCATTAGGCTGCAATCTTCTTCTTTTTTTAAAGTATTTCATTTCAGATTTTGTGGTGAAAGGAGCTGAGCATATACATATTGCCGGCTGAATCAGGGAATGAGTACTTAATAACCTAGTATATACATATTCAAACTCACATATAGATCAAGAATTAAAAGATAATGAAATATGGGAGTCTTACTAGAGAGTTCTGTAAAACTTAAAGTTGAGTGAATGGTTTTACAGAAGTTTTGTTCAGTTCAGATGGGAGGTTTCAAATTAGGGTTAATGACTCTGGCATTTGGTACTGTGGGGTTTCAAAATGGCAGGCAACAGTGAAGTGCAGGCCACAGGAAAGGACACTAGGGATGGTGATGAAAGAGGTGGATGAGGATCTTGCTATTTTTCTTGGCATGAGGCGTAGTGCTAAAGAGAGGGAGGATGATCTTCATTCTTCTCCCATCTTTGACTACATCAATGATTCACTGTGTATGTTTCTTATTACTGATAATTTTATCAATTTTCTCCTTGTCTTTGTGTGAAGCTTTTACAAATCTCGCGTTTTCTGTTAATTGATGTTTTGTAGTTGAGGAAACGCCCGCTGATGATAGAACAGCAAAGGAATTTTCCACGAGTTCTGCGAATGACACAAGTGAATATAATGAATGGTGACACTTGATTTTGATGATCTATTCAACTTCTGTGCCATTTCCTTTTACTTTGATGTGTTTTTTAATTAAAAGAAGCCATAAATTGCTCCAATGCTGATGAGCATTTGATTACATTATGGTCATACAGGCTTCTTTCACTTTCATCATACCCCTCCATCAATGATGAGGAAGAGAATGATGCCGTTGATTGGACCGGAAAACGTTCAGATTTAGCTGAGTTAGATTTGATGGTGAGTGTGTAATTGAAAAGAAATTCATAACCAGAGATGATTGCTCGTACAAATATGTAACTCTTTGTGCTCTTTTTGAACCTTGGTCAAATTGAGCTGCTCCTTTGAGCATATCAGACATCATTTTAAGACTTGGAAGTTTCGATCATGAACTCTCTAGGATAAAACCCAAGATCTTATATATAAGTTTATATCTTTGTAACTAGTCGTTATGAGATGACTTTACATAATATCCTTTAACATTATTAATGAGTGGCATAGGCAGGCACCCAAATTGCGCTAGGCTACAAATATTTTTTTGGAAAACATTTAACCCAAAATATTTTACACTAATATTTCAAATATTTTTAAAATTTGGGCTGGGTCAGGGCCTAGGCCCCCTCCAGCTATGCCCATGTCACTAATCCTAGATGAAACGGGAGGCAAACGAATAAATTGGATACCACGATGAAATGTGTGGAAGCATTGTCTTTTTATTAGAAATTTCAGTTCAAGTCTGAAATAAAGTGAATTTTTAAGGAAAACATGTTTTTTGAATATTTTAGAAAGAAACATAATTAAATTCCAAGACTGTATTACACAATCTTTAAATGTGTCTAAATATCCTGTCCTTGTGAGCCTTAGTTATATATTTGTGGTAGCCTTGTTCATTTTGGAAAGCTAGCTAGTACTAACACTTCTTTAATGAAAAATAATGCCTTTTTGGATACTCTGCATTTGTTTTAGGCAACTAATGATAGTAATTCCCCAAAGGATGAAGAAACTTCGCAAAATGAGTTGTTGGTACACTCATCGTCAACAACTTCTGGCAAAAGCATTTCTTCTTCAAACAGCAAAAACTCTTCTTCTGCTGGAAATTCCACAACTTCATCATCTTCTGGGAGGAGCAGAAGAAAACCCAATGCTGCAACCCCCAAAGCTGGACGATCTCTACCACTTTCCTTGTCCAAATCCTCAAGACCTTCCACACCTACTTCAAGATCATCCCTACCTTCTGCTCCTCCTCTAGTAACTACTACTAGTTCACGTTCTTCCGTCACTTCATCCAGATCAGGTTCAAGGTCTGCAACACCAACCAGTAGGACAACATGCGTGGTGAAGCCAGGTCTTGCGTCGTGGAAGAAATCTGCAGCTTCTGCCACTCTAGTAAGTCCAAGTGCGCCGCCACCTTCCACTGCTGGTGGTGGAAAATCAAGGCATAGTAGATCTTGTTCACCTTCTAGAGCTCAAACCCAAAACAACACCCATGCTCATAGCCAAAATAAGAGGGCTTCACTTTCAAGGAGCAGGGGGTCGTGGTATACCAAGGATGAAGATGCTGTGATGATGAACCCTGTACAGGTAGGAACAAAGATGGTTGAAAGGGTAGTGAACATGAGAAAACTAGCTCCTCCTAAACATGCAGATGATCCCTCCAAGAAGTCATCTCTATCTCATAGAGGCTCAAGCTTTGGAACTTCCTTCTCTAAAATGTCTCTGGATATGGCTATACGACATATGGTAATTAAATAAAACCTCGAACTGACTGCAGTGAGAGATCAATAACACAAGCACACGATCTTCCATGGCCATCAGAAAGTGGCTTGTGGAAATTGCTAATAGAGCCATTATATACTTAATATCGCAGTAAGTTATGTCTTATCAGCGTATTGCCCTCGGATTTTGTTTTTTCAAAAAATCCAGTCATTACATTCTTGATACTCTTTTGTGTGTTGCTTTACATGTAGCAAGGATTTGATCCAGCTTTGTTTTTATAAGATGCTGCCTCAAAATTTTGAGATTATTATAAACTTTGATTATTCATGGTGTCATCTTGATTCATGACATCATTCAAGTTTTAGTCATGCACATATTCATGATCACTAGATAATACGGAGTACTAATAGAGATAGGTAGGGCTATGAGTGAATCGAGCCGAATATGTAAATGTTTTTATTTGAATTTAAAAAGTTACTCCCTCCGTCCCTAAAGAAACTTCCAACTTTCTTTTTTCGTCAGTCCCAATTAAAACTTCCACTTTCCCTTTTTGGTAAAGAATTTGTGATTCACAACATTTTTTACACATTTATCTCTCCTCTGCACAACTTTCCACCACACAATATCCACAATCTTAAACTGTGTGCCCAACCTATTTTGAAGTTTTATTAGGGACAGAGGTAGTACATAGTATACTTTGAATTCTATTTTGATTTTTGTGTATGTGATACTGAAGCGCCCACCAAATATAAGGCTACTGCACCCCTAACATTACTAGGCAATGTGAAAGTTATGAAAATGAAAGAGAGTGTTTACAATTGCCAAACAAAAGAAAGCCAAAAAACAACCCACTTGATTACCCATCTTAAATACATGATGAGATTGATACCAAGGAAACTAGAATAAGGTCTGTGTAAGAGAATGTTTGTAATTGCTTCAACTTTAAAAAAATGATTTTTTAAAATGATTTTGGGAAAAGTGATTAATAATGAAATTTGATAGGTGTATGAGAGAAAAAGTGATTCTGAAAAAGTAAAGGTTGGTAGTGTTTGGTAAAATAAGTACTTTTTGTGTAATAGAAAAAATGAATAGCAGTTTAAAGCACTCTTCCACCTGCTTCCAGCTTTTAGCTTTTAAGTGATTAGTTTAAGTATAAGCTGTCATTTGAAAACTCTTTTTAGTCTTTTCAAGTCAAAAGCTGAAAAGCGCTTTTTTAAGCAATCGCAAACACTCTTTAAAGCTTCCACCTCAACCCACAATGTCATTCTTGTGTGTGTAAAGCTTTGGTCTCCCCATGCAAAACTCTTTCAATTTCTAAGGGAGATTCAGCAACATTGCAACAACCGACCATATCATTGATATGGATTCTAATGGATGTCCTTGCCAAGTATTTGAAAATGAGCGTACATAATAAAAGTATAAATCAGTTTGCCGTTGTTAAGATTGAGAATAAGACAAGGCTAGAAAGCTATTATCGATTTGGAGGCAATTTTGGCTGACCAAATGTTGTTAAACCGGAACTGGAACCATATAGTAGTATAGTACCGCTTCTTAAACCAGTGATTCTAATTCCAATATGGTTCTATTAATAAAACATATTTAAAGTATAAGTATTTCATAATTAGGAAAATTTACTCACAAAAATCAATAGATTTTGTCAATTCTTGGTATCATCAAATGGGGTGCAAAGTCCAATATCGCTCAAAATATGGGTGTAATTTCAAATACCTCATAAATTATCTAATAAAAGAACTCTTAAAGTTACGCTAATAATAAAATACAAGAAATTGGCCTAGATAGAATTAAAACATAGAGAAAATTCCAAATAGAAGTTCTTCCGTTTTATTCATTGAGTAGGACTTTAAATTAACTTTATACCTTTAATATAATTAAAGGAGAATTATTTGATGCTCTTTCGCTTCTATCCACTCTCTTCCAAATAGAAGTTCTTCTGTTTTATTCATTGAGTAGGACTTTAAATTAACTTTATAACTATAATATAATTAAAGGAGAATTATTTGATGCTCTTTCGCTTCTATCCACTCTCTTCCAATTCGCCGTGTTCCGTCACATTTGCCGCAATTCCGGAGCTCTTCTTCGTCGGACGCCACACCCCTCTCTTACTTTTTTTTTTCTTTTTGCCTTTTTTTTATTACTCCTGGAGGGGTCTGGGGGTTGGGGGGGAGTCTGGAGTAAACATGGTTGAAACTCACTCCATTGAGTTTCAAACCCTTATGTGCCTAGCGGGGTTCGAACTCGAGACCTCTTACTAAGCACAGTAACCTCACAACCAGTTGGGCTGGAATGCTTGATTCACCTCTCTCTTCTATATCCCTAAGTAACCTTCTTGTTTTCTTCTCCCTCTTCCTCCTTCGCATCATCCTCTGTTTTTGAATTTCTTCATTTTCTATTTTGGTTTTTATTTTTTTGATTGATTTGGATCAAATCCGTCCCATCGTAGGTGGGAGCCTTTGCGGCACTGGGGTAATGAAGATGATAATGATTTGGATCAAATCAGTAAAATTTCTAGATAATTGTTACTTTCGTATTTGATGAATAAAAAATTGAAAGGAAATCGCCTATATTTATATCACGACTTTTAGGATCGTTACATCAATCAAAGAAAAACCGTACGTGGCACCAACTAACATTCACCAACTACGACCATAAACCCTACGATTGGACATAGAAATGGTCAACTCATAAAAAAATCGTTAACCACGACACGTGAATCATTGGTCCTATAGATCCGTATACTTCTAACGACATACAAATAAACTAAGTTTTCAATCAACCTAATAAACCTGGAAACAAAGACTTTAACATGAAACCACGCAATAAAATAACAATAACTATAATATGATAAATTTCTCAAATCCTAGCACCTCGTTTTATCCATGGCGTTGTAATTGATCTTCCATCATCGATCGACATCTGGTCTGCCATAGCCATTTCCTCCTTGTGCTTTCCCCACATCTATATATACACCCACCCAAGTATGTGGATAGCCTTCTTGCTCCCTTGTTAAGCAATGCCGTCACACCATGGCCTCCTTGACATCCCCTCCATCCCATGCCAGTTGTGCCTCACCAATAGCACCTCAGGGTCCCCTAGGAGATCTTCAAATTGCGGCAGCTATAGACACTCCAAAGCAATCCCCATCACCATCATCGACCTCCCATCATCCAAACGAAAAGAAATCGACCCACTCCAGTGTTGGTGACATCGAAGCAATCGGCAAAGTGCCTGCGAAATAACTTGCCGAACAATTAATCGACACCAAACTTCAAACCTTGATGAGGGTTACCAGTCCGCAACTCTGAAGAGAAAGTTCTGGCTCTCTCCGGTGAAATTAGTGCCATATTTGATATGGTATATCGGATTTCTCATTACTTAGGATGTTTTCTTTTGGACTGGAATTTGCTGGTCTGATTTGTATAGTCCGGTCTGGTCTCTGTGGATTTTATAATTACGGAAGTCTGGTCTGGTCTGATCTAGTTTGGGGCTGAAAATAGTCCAAAAGAAAACATCCTTATTATCGTGATTGAATATTTGTATTATTTATTTCTAATTAATTTTGAATGTGAAAGTGGCACATTTACTAATATTATTTTTTTGTGGTAAATAATCTAGGTTTGAACATTGAACTCAAAAAAATATCATTTTTTCTGCTTTACCTTTATTAATATGGTAATATTACTCTTATAATGTTATGCTTTTTGCAATATTAAAATGTCATTTAAACTCCAAAAAAATGGATGGAGTCAAAGTCAGTATGGAAGTAATATATTCTCATTGAAAAAAAACGGATGGAGTCAAAGTCAAAGTCAGTATGTCATACTTATATTGTTATTCTCCTTTTTATTTCATTTTAGCCTAAGGGCGCCTTTTGTTTGTAGCATATGGGCGTTTTTCTTTTTATTAAAAAAAAGTTCTCCATGATAATAATTACGAAAAAAAATATTCTCACAGAAAAAATATTATTTCTCCCTAAAAAGGGAGTAACATAGAAGCATACATATTCCGAATCTCCGGAAAACATGATATCTAAACTCTCCCAAAATCCCATTTAATTGGGATTCTGAAAGATTTTGGATATCCTGTTTTCCCGAGATGCGAATTGAGCATGCCCATTTAGCAACTATATAGTAGTAATAGCCACGGCAAACTAGAAGTTGTTGATAAACCATTTTAAGATCTCTTAAGTTGTAGGTGTGGTAACCGGGAGCGGGCTGATAATTCATCCCAATCTTATGGCCGGCTAGCCCTTTCCGTACTCCACGCGGAGCAGCTACAACGTCAAGTGGAACGGAGATCTGGTCAGGCAACGCCGGAAGAGGTCCGAATTAAGCCCGAATTCAACGGTCTTGTTTCATCCATAACAAACACACCTGGCCAACTCTAGAGATTGGCGTATCGGTTTAGCTTAGCAGGATTTCTTTCAAACTGTATTAAAGCTAATCGAACTGAAATCGATAAAACCGAGAAAAATTGAACCGAACTACAGAAATTCAATAAAACTTTCGTATGTTATTAAAAAATCGCATATCCAAACCGAACCAAACATAAAAATAATAAGTACTACATATGATTTTTGTTTGATACTCCGTAATAATTCTTCCAACCCGTTTCAAACTGAATTGAACTGAATCGATAATAACCAAACCGAAAACCGATAAGTCCACCTCTAGTATTGGCTGAACAAATACATTGACTAATTTTATTCTATTATTGCACTTTCCAAATTACAGTCCTTTTAAAAATTTCATTGACTGCGGTCGGGGGTGACGCGTGGTGGGCGGGCCTCATCGCCTTGGCCCCCCAACAATTTATATGTGATGTATATAATATCTGTAAATATTTATAGACAAAAAAATATATAGTGACATTTTAAGGTTTGACCCTAGCATAAATTGTTTAACCTGACGTTTATGGCTTCTGGCTACAACATTTAGGGAGTGTTTGCAACTGCTTAAAAAAGCACTTCTCAGCTTTTGGCTTTAAAAAACACTTATTTACCAAACACAACCAATTTTTACTTTTTCTCGGCTTGCGTGTGAAAAGTGTTTTTCCCTTTTCTATTACACAAAAAGCACTTATTTTACCAAACACTACCAATTTTTACTTTTCAAAATCACTTTTTTCTCAAACACTATCAACTTTTACTACTAATCACTTTTTCCTTACATCTCCAAAAGTGCTTTTTTTAAGCAGAAGCAGTTGCAAACACTCCCTTAAAGAGTTTTTGACATACACCATTTATCTATCCTTTTAAAATCCTTCCCCCAGTTATTTTTACTTCTTTTTTCCGTTGGTAATAAGAATGAAAGGAACAGGACAACTTCTTAAAGTGTCAACTTAATACAAAGTAACGATGTTC